TGTGGCCAACTTCGACAACGCGTCGGCGTGGGCATTATCTTCCCGAGGCACGTAAGGAACTCCAATTTTTGGAACCATGCGCTTTTGGCCTTCACCGTCCTCATATATGCGTTCAGGGCATTTTCCTTTACTTCATACACGTCGTTCATATGATTTATCACTAAGGCCGAACCAGAGCGGAGTTGAACCTTCTGCGCTCCGAGTTCACACGCTGTGTGCAAACTCACGATGACCGCCTCGTACTCCGCAACATTGCTTGTTTTTAACAATGAGAACCGCAGCGCCAGCTCATGCATCGCCCCCAATGGGACTAACGAACACAACTCATTCTCCAACGCCTACTCTGCTTGCTGCCCCATCCACATATACCTGCGAGTCTTCCTCCAACATTCCCTCTTTGCTTACGACCCCCTCGGCCGCGAAGTCAGCCAAGACTTGCGCTTTGAATGTTGGGTGAGGCGCGTACCTGAGGTCATACTCACTTAACTACACCACCCATTTCACCATGCGCTCTGCGATATCCATAGACTCCAAAGTGCTTCTTAGCGGTAAGTTAGTGATTACCACCATCGGATGCGCCTGGAAATATGGGTGTAGCTTTACAGCCGCCTCGACGACAACTAAGGCTTCCTTTTCAATGGGCGCATATAGCGTCTCTAGGCCCGTCATCACATTGCTGATGTAGTACACGAGTCGCTCTTCCTTAGCCTCTCCCTCCATCAACATGAGCACCGCACTGACGGTTGTGCGTGAGATCGTGATGTATAGGTATAACGTCTCTCCCTCCTTCAGCGCTATCATGATAGTGCGCGCCGTTAGCAGGCTCTTAAACTGCTCAAATGCTTTGTCACACTCCTCCGTCAATTTAAAGCACAAGGCTTTTCTCAACACACGGAAGGAAGGTGCGCCTTTGTCCGCCGAACGAGGGATGAAACGCCCCAGCGCCGCCAGGCGCCTATTCAATCTTTGCACCTCATTGGGCATTCTTGGTGGCTTCAGGAGCCTTATCGCATCGACCTGTTTTAGATTGGTCTCCATGCCTCTCTTCGTGATCATGAAGCCCAAAAATTTTCCCGCATCCACACCAAAAATGCACATTAGAGGGTTAAGACGCAAAAAGTTTGTGCGCATGGTCTCGAAAGTTTCTCGCAAGTCCTTTAGATGATCACCTCTCCTCTTGCTTTTAACTACTAGGTCATCCACGTACGCCTCTACGTTCCGCCCGATTTTCCTACGAAACACATTGTTAACCATACGTTGGTATGTTGCACCCGCGTTCTTCAACCCAAACGACATGACCTTGTATCCATTGGGCACATGCGATTAAGACTGGTATAGTCAACACACATCCTCCAGTCACCGGGCGCCTTAGGCACTGGCACCACATTCGACAACCATGTGGTATACTTGGCCTCTTCTACAAACCCAGCCTCGAGTAGCTTCCTCACCTCCTTGCACATCGCCTCTTCTTTTTCCTCCAACAGTGGTCTCCTCTTTTGCTGCATAGGGCGCACGCCCCTCTCCACTGGGAGGCGATGCTCCACAACTTCAGGCCTTACCCCAGGCGTCTCTATTACGCTCCATGCGAAGAGGTTCGCAAATTTTTTCAACATGTGAACTAAAGGCTCAATTGCCGCATCATCCGTGTGAGCGGATATACAGACGCATCATTAGGCACCTGGTGACAAGAGGAAGCCACCCCATTTAAGAGGGCTAGCAGTGGGCGCCCCAAAAGCGCGTTGTATGAGGAGGGACAGTCAATAATGTCGAAATCCACCGTATGGGTAACCTTATGATCCTCCTCCCCCAAAGTCACGGGGAGGCGTACTCTCCCGAGAACCCGAGCTGGCACTCTTGAAAATCCTACCAACATGGTATCCGCCGGTCTCATGATGTTGGACAACAATTGCATTTTCTCGAAGGCGGATCTAGATGGCCTCCTCAGGCACCTCATTAAAATGGATTTAGATGGCCGCGCGTGCAGTTGCAGTGGATGACTTTTGGCGAATCCCCTCCTACAACTTTTGCCTCAAGTCCATTAAGCTAGTAATGGCCTCAATTGTCAGCTTTACGCGACTGGTGTTCGATTCTTGTTCCACGTCAAAAGAGGTGGAGTTAGCACGTCCTTTCCTTCGGGCTCTGCACCTCCTTCATGCTTTCCCCGCGGGTGCGCCTCTCATGAGGAGAAGTGTTGTAATGCAAAAGGGTCTACTTATCCTTGGAGTGTTCAGGTTAGCTACATGTTCACTTTAAGGAGACTTCACAAGTTATATTGGTACTTAATATTCTTATCGCTACCTTACCCTGCACCATTACCCTGAAATTATGTTCAGGGCAGAAAGTTTCCACTTAGCTGTCTGTTGCTTTTATGATTTAGTTGAATGAGCAATACGTGAACGCATCATTGTTGGTGAATCCTTGTCATTCCTGCATTAGGATAAAGTAATGAATGTCATGTAGATTACAAATTCACACACCTTATTCTAAAAGACTCTGTTCCAACTTATTCACATTCCTCTCAAGTTTCTGGTCTCTTGAGCTTGATACTGATGTTGAGGCTTCTTCCATATAGACTAGTTCCTTACTTCCTCTTCTAGATTGAATTGTATTGTTCGATCATAGACGTACCATCTGGCTAATTGCGACAACTCTAATGTGCAGGAACCGAGAGGAGAGCAGTAGCTGTGTTCGAAAGAGGGGATTGGTGGATGGCCTTTGCAATGGGAAGAAAATAGACAGCCAGAACCTCGTATCCAAAGATGCTAAGTAAAACCATTTCTCGCTACTGGGAGGAATGATTGTCGGAACCCTCTCTCAATAGGACAAAACAACAGAATAAAGTATTTGATCTTCTGTTTGTTTAGAAAACTGGATTTTTCCAAACGAGTTTTGGTCTATATCGCATTCAATTTACCATTTGAAGGAAGGGCACTTCCCCGCATATTTTCTGCATCTTCCTATGTGTTCCATCCTATATCTTGCATGGTCTTAAATGGCCAGAGTTTACCCGTACAATTGATTAACTGAGGAAAAGCCTTTTGTCATTTAATTCTTTTCCTTTCCATGGAAAGAGTAACCAAAGCATTCCTCAAAGAGGTGCAGTCTGTGCTGGAAATTTGAGACAGCAAGGTGGGGAATTGCATCTCAAGCAACGGGTACAAAGCAAAAGAATAACATTGTAGTAATTGCTTAATTTAGAAAGACTAGTTCTGGTGAGTGAACAGGCCCTGCTGCAGAATGAATAGTTTCCAGGGTCGATTGGTACCCTCCTACATCGGTTACACGTGCAATGTAATGTTGCACCAGTGGTCCACATCCTTCGCTTGTTACTGCGTAATCAGAGAGGTTGGGTTAGGTTGCCTCTTAATGTGACGATTGAACTCAAGTCGAAAGAGAAAAGTGGTGTCTCCTCGAAACAACTCTGTTTTGCAAGGCTGGGGAGCACATTTTTCATCATTGCCTTCCCAGAAAAAGGTCTTGGCCAACTTGAGTCAGACTGAAGAGTACACTACTGAGATCAGCATCGTGTCGATCATGTGATGGACGATTTGCAGACTGGGAAGGTTTGATTCAATACACTGCCACAACCAAAACAAAATTAGTCCATCCATCCATAATCATTATAGCTTACAAAAAAATGACTTGAGATCCCAGAACAAGGAAAAGCATGAGATGTCCTTACATCTTGTGAAATTTATGCAAGTTGATGAGAGTTGATGATTGGTGGAACCATTCGCTGGAGTTTCAAGACATATTACAAAATCTCGCTCAAAGTTGCAGGACTGTGAAAGGAAACAAAACAAACCACATCATCCGATTAATATGATGGGAACATTTATAGCACCCACATGGATGCATCATCCAGTTGGAAGACACTGAACACTTAAATGTACAAAGCTAGTACAGGCTCCGACAAACTGTTGCCCTGATGGACAAATCCACCTTGCTTGCTGTTGTTCTCATCAAGAGCTAACAACATTTCATATTCACTCCTGTAAAGAAATAAAACATTGCAAAGGAAGGTGATTTAAATTTCTCATTCTAGCAACGCAAGCTAGTGCTTCAAACCTCCGATGGAATAAAAAAGCAAGGACTTTCAACATTAGAAACAATTAAACTTAAAAAAGAAAGTTGTTGTGACCGTTAGGGAATTACTTTATGACAGCATTAAGCAAAGCTAGCAAAGAATCTTAGTGTTAGGGCCAACCCTTTCAGCCATTTTTGAGCAGTGCGGATCTCTACACAATCGAAAAAGAGAAGAATATTACTTATGGAAATCACGCTGAAGATTAAGGATGTGAATAGAGCCAGAATCTAAGTCACCAACCCAATATTCAGTCTCTGAATGAATGAGAGAAATTATAGAGTTATTCACAGCAACCTGATTGCAGGTCAATTCAGTTTGTGATGTTTCAGGCTAAAGGTGTAGGGCTGCCAAATATGCGTTCATGTTCATGTCACTATGTGCTCACATATCCCTGGAGAGGACAGACTATTTGATGCACCATGAGGAAACGTGATGTCAAACATGCGGTTATGCTCATGCCACTATGGTCAGCCAATCTCATAATTGCTATTGGCTGGAAAGAGACGACTTAGAAGGAACCTTACCAAACATGGCCTTTCCTTTGTCCATGCGTGTTGCTCCACTAGTTTGCTTAGTTTGAGGCTCGGAACTGTCACCTTTTGCTGCTCTTCTGAACAAAGAAGCATCCTCAGAGGGATGAAAATTCACAGCGAATGATGTAGTATGTTTGCCACATTGATCTGGAGTTTGGACCATCAATAATTATTTGTTTCCTTGGTGGACGCAAGTGCATTCATCTCTGATTTACACTTTCATGTGATACCCTTCTTCGATACCTAGCTGATTGACTCGCTCTATGTTTGTAAAATCAGAAATTCTTGGATGACTAACACTTGATGACCACTTGCTCGACCATATTGCGCACTTTTGCTCTGCCTTCCAGATGACCTACCATGAGTAGAAGGTATTTCCATTACATATCAATATCCATGTCATCCATACCTGCATCACTTGTAGAAAAACATGATTCAGTTAGCAGATAGACAGCGTGCAATCTGATAATCATGCTGATTAGGATTGCAGACTACCAAGCCATCAAATGGAACAATACTAACAATTGTTTTCTCGACCAGAAACTGCATAAATTTTGGGATTCAATGTGTGTATACTACAAATCGTTTCCTGCCATAAAGACTGAAGTCACCTAACAATTGCAGGTCTCTACAGTAACAGATTTCCAAAGAGACTAGAGCATAGAATCTAAGAAGCTTATAGCACAGGACATACTATACACCTCCTAGGGATTTTCACAAAGAGAGGATTCTCATGATCCACGCCAGAAAAGAAGAAACAATGTAAGACCAGTTAGAAAATGTAGCAACCTTTCAGGACTTAAGCAGGACCACAGCTAGAATCGCATCAGATCAAATACCCTGTCAACAAATTTCAAAAGCTAAAACAACGATCCATAATGAAGGAATGACCAAAAATTTATCAGCTAGAAAGATATACATACCTACAAGAGGACACAATAGGAGGTTGTAAGCATTAAAGACCCAACAATGCTACAGACTTCTTAGCAGACAGCAGTAATGACTTGTTTTTGGATAGAAGAAATCACATCAAACTACAAAATCAAGCCGAAAACACTAGGTGACACTGGGAGACTTGTGCTTATAGTATATAATGCAGTATGATCATAGGTAGAAGAAGCTGACATAACATTTCCTTCCTATTGCAGTGCCCAATCCTATGCTATACCAGTATACCTACTTCCGCCAATCTGTCGGAACACCATTTAATCATGAAATTATGCGCAGGTACCATGTCTTAACTCAATAGACTGACAAATATAGGTCACTCGTCACCAGCAGAATAGGATGAGAAGAGAACAAACCTCGCCTGCTTCTACTTTCCTTGTCCTTGCTTCTGACTCGGCAGCATCCACAGAGCCTGATTCCTGAGTGCCATCCATGTCTTCTAGCTTCAAGGGAAAACTCATTACGCCTTATCGAACTGTCAGGTTGACGATTTGGGAGTCTGGATGATCTTCTAGCTGCACTGTTTGCTTCTCTAGAAGTGAAAAACCAATTAAGCACATTTTCTCCTTCTCCATCTCTTTTATACATCTGACTACCACTCCCAGCTCCGTTCTAGTGTCAGTCTCCCCTTTGAGCAGACTCACTACCTTCCTGCAGCCTGATTCCACAATAACATTATCCTTTCCAAGCTCCACCGCCTTCTGGAGACCAAATAGAACATTCATTCCTTCTGCAATCTCTGCTGATCATTGCCTCTGCAGCTTCTTATGTGCCACAAATATGAATGTACCATTTCAATCTCTCAGAATACATCCTAGCCCAATTTTCCTCTACTACTTACACCTGCAACAATGTTAAGCTTACAGACACCAAAAGCCGGCTTCACTCATTTACCATTCCTTCTGGCTGCTCTCCCATGCAGACTTCCTCCCTCTTTCCTGCACTTCAAGGAAGTCTTTGATGAAAACATCAACTTTATTGAACACCTCCCATTCTTGCAATATCTTGTTGTTGAAAAGAAATTGATTAATTTCTTTCAAAAAAAAAAATAGAGGAGTGAGCAGAAAATACCAAGTTCATCATCATCTGCCTCCTTTAGCACGTTGAAAATCCATAGTCTGCAAGAAAGAGAATCTACAGCATAAAACAGTCTCGCAATAGGGGTCTTGCTTCAGATTCGTGCTATCCAGATACATCGCACTAGACAATGTTTCCTTCATTCCACAGTTGGGACACTCATCACCCATCGTTTTAACCTTTTTGCTAATCTTCACTCCTACTAGAAGATTGTTATGAGCACCTTCCATAAGAACACTGACACGCTAAAACACAACACCTAACAATGGCCAAGTGTAACCACTGAAAGGGACTGCAGTATAGGCAAGTTTAATTATCAACCCGGGGTCTAGATCTACTGCTTACTCCGTGATTCTCTATTATCTAGCAAACTAAGTCGAGTGAGTGTTGTTTAAAGCAAAAGCAGTAAGAAAGCAGGAAATGGTTCGGTTTTCAAAAGCAGTTAAGAGTCACTCGGGATTGAGTCCCCCTAGCCCCTTAGTTAGGTTCAATTGCAATTCCCTGGGTTGATTTACTGTTGATTAGACTGCGGAAGATCCGACAGTAGCTTGGAATCTCTTAAGCTGACCAAGCCCTCTCAGTCTAACTACCCGGCAGACGACTAGTCTTCACCGGGATAGAAAGCTGAGGCTATAAACACAGAACTCCACTACTGGCGTTAAGAACACCAGTACAAAGCAGTAAACTGGCTAACTCTCGTATAGCCAATCTCCTACTATCGAATGAAGAAGCTCTAACAACCTAATCAGATTCTATCTATCTCAGGTTGAAGCAGAAATTGAAACAAGCTGATCAGACTCAAATCAATTCATGAAACATGCATCATTCGATTAAAATCAAACAATAATATCATCCCAAGTCATTACAATCAAATCCCTAACACAAGGAACTAGGGTTCTTCATACCCAAGTGAGAGAAAGGTTCTACTCCATAGAGAGAGAAAGGAAAACAGAAATCAGAGTAGCCATACTCATAAAGATGAGGAAAATCTGCTCTGGGATGTCAATCTTCACTCCTAGGGACGCAATCTGGGCTTCAATGATGAGAAATCCACTCCAAATCAGCTCCTAGGGTTTGTTCTTCGCTCTTTCTCTCTCTAAAACTCTGTTTTTGCCCAGAAAATCGAATTCCCTCTCCTTGGCTCGAATCTGCCTTCAAAAACCCGACTCTGGGCGAATTACGGGCAGAATTACGGCCGTAATCACTTCCTGCCCGTAATTCGCACCAAAACGCGCGTTTCACTTAAGCTGGCAGAGGAGAAGTTACGGCCGTAATTTCCCAATTACCGCCAGTAATCTGGGAATTACGGCCGTAATTCCTGGGGGTCTTGCCCGTAATTTCACCACCGAGAAGAATTGCTGGGGGAATGCGCGGCCAATTAATTACGGGCATGCCCTGGCTAATTACGGCCGTAATTTAGCAGGGCCTGCCCGTAATTCACTCTGTGACTCGCCAATTGACCTCCAAATGACCCGAAACTTGCGCCTTTGCTCCTCTTTACTTGCTAGGACCTGAAATACGACAAAACAACACAACCTAGCGTAAAATAGGCCAAGGAACAATCAATTCGAGCCAAAATGGACAGGAAACCAGAGTGAAAACACGTGCAAATACGATGCTATCAAATTCCCCCACACTTAACTGTTTGCTTGTCCCCAAGCAAACCAAGTACTACACAAGGTAAGCTCACATAATTCAGTCAACCAACATCGGGGACAAGTCATAGAGGCACAGAACACGTGAATCAAACTGGTTTTCAAACATCAACACATGAACAACTTTAATAACAACCTGGACAACCACCACAAAGGACATCGAGTGCAGCAAATCGAGTAAAGGAAGAGTCTCCCTCCTGTTCACTGGCCAACCTAGACTTGATTCAACCACTTACTCAAAACAGTCAACTCATGCATCCAACTCAAGACATCAGAATAGAGACCGAGCAATCTAGGTCCTCACCGGGGTACAAGAGCATATAGAAAATGGAAATGAATCACTCACTCTCGACCAGTGGGGTCAGGACAATTTGATGCGAAAGATGCGCATGCTATTTCTCTCAATCCCTATCATCTCTTCACCATGATGGCAGCCTCTAAATGCTAGAGTTCACATATGGGATGTCACCACTAACTAATCAGGAGGTCTTAGACACAGGTTCAAATGACTGGCTAGGGTCTTGGACATGGGGAAAAAGGCCTTTCAGGTGGTGGAAGTATTCATAGCAAAAGGTTCCACATTTCCCAAACACACAAACACAGTCAAACAAACCGGTATTTTCTTTCTGCTATCCTGCATTACTCAACATCTCAAGAGCACAAGAGCGAAGGAGGCATAAACATCAGCATTTCCAAGCCAGACTGCTAAGAAACACTACTTACTGGGCATTATTCAGATTTTTGGTAGTGGCTCTCTTTTGCTTTCAATTTTTCTTTGTTTTTCTTTTATTTTTCTTTTCATTTCTTAAGAGAGCCACCACTTCTGCACATTTCAAACACATGCCCAACATTCAAGCACTGCCTCCAACACTCACATAGACTTAAGCAGAAACAGCAGAGAATATGTAAAAACCACTCTGTGGAACCTTCTAAAAGATGCAACAAGGGTGATTTTTTTTCCATTATAGACCAAAAGAAAGGATAACACACGGCTCAAAGGGGCTGACTAGGGGATATGACACATCAGGACAGTCAGTTTTGGGCGTGGGCTAATCCTATGCCCCCATCATCTTAGCTAGTGACAACGTGAATGCTACACATCATGGAAGAGGGATCTATCTCACAAGAAAGAAACGAGCAGGCTCAAATCTCACATGGCTACCTATATGCTCTACCTCACATTCTGATACCCTGAACTAGATGCATGAACGACTGTCAAGAACAAGTAATCAGATCAAGTCAGATCAAGTCACAGTTGGCAAGCAAACAGTTGAAAAACTGAACCCCTACATCGTTCTACTGCACATCTCAGTCCTTATCATAGGTTGTCCTAGTCGCAACAAGTTGTCATGCATTAATCCGAAAACCAATCAATTCATCAATCAAAACACAGTGCCAATATGAACAAACAGCAGTACTTGGAGCCCTCAAATCGTAAGATTCGGACAGCGGACTAGGCTCCAAGCACCCATATATACGTTCCAATAAAGACAAAGAACCCCCCCACACTTAAATGCGACAGTGTCCTCAATGGAGCGAAGGGAAGGGGAACGATGTTACCGTGAAACAGTGGTCAGGAACGTTGACTGGATGGCGGACCAGTCAAAAGCAGAGGACTGGACAAGGACCAGTCCGATGGGCACAGAGCTAGAACCAACAGAACACACACAATGGGTGAAATACCATAGTTCCAAGTCAACAATCCACACAACGTGAACAAGAAATAAAAACAAAACACAATCCGGAGTCTAAATCTGAAAAGATGGACAAAAGCCAAGCCCCACTCGATGGGCTGATAAAATCAGATCACAGCTCGTCGCCTCCATCGCCAGTGGGAGGCGGGTAGAAGTCTTCATGCCCCGGGGACGCCTCCCAAGGATAGCTCACAGCAGCAGGATCCATGTTCCAGTAGCTCATCATGTAGTGCTGAGCTGAAATGATGCGGCGGCGACCATCGCGCTCACGGTCGAGGCGGGCGTTGATGTGCTCCTGGCCAGCAAGGATCTGCTCGTTCTGGCGGACAAGGGCTGCCATCTGCTCAGCAAGATAGATAGTGGGCTGCGCAGCAGATGGGCCGGCACCGGAAGTGGAGTCGCCCGGGGCAGAGGGAGTGGACCGAGACCTCGTCCGGCGGGTGGTCCGACGGGCTGCAGCATCACTAGTCTCTGGTGGCTCCTCACCCTCTGGTGCACGAGGAACAGGGCGAGGCAGGCCCCGGATCCAGGTCACGTTCCCTTCGTGCTCCAGTATCAGCTGGCGCCGGAGGGTGTCCCTGGAGAATGGCATCGCCTCCTGGATGAGAGTAAACCGGGAGAGATCGACGTTGTAGTACCGCGCCAGGGCAGTGACCACCGGCCCACATGCCAGAGGTCGATTACACCGCTTATGCTTGGCAACGGTCCGGGCAATGAAAGAGGACAGATGGAGGTTGTCCTCCTCGTGGCTCATGGAGTGCAGGCAGTGCAGGGTGCGGAGCTGAAGATGACTGGTGGAGCCCTCGCTGGGGGTGTAAGATTTCCCCAGCAGCTGGTTGATGATAGCGCCACTTCTGGTCGCAGCTGAGTGGCCGTGGTGTGGCCCGGGGTGAAAACAGATCCAGCATACCCCGGGAGGCAGATCCGCTCGAAGAACTGCTGGTCCCGAAAGATGGGACAGTCGGGCTCCTCGATGGCCAGGTGACAGGGGAACGGTGGAAGTAGCCCCAGTGCCCGACCAAAATCGTCATAGCTCAGAGAGTAGAACTCCCCTCCGAGTCGGAACTGGATGGCGTTGCCGTGCGCTCCAGCATGGGTCCGGAAATGCTCGAAGGTGGAGTAGAACTCCCAGAGGAGCTCCTTGTAAATCGGCTCAGCAAGGCAGAGGAGGCGGCGCCAAGAGAAGGCGCGAATGGCAGCCTCCATTGCCTCGCGAGCACCCAGCTCCTCGAAGACCCTCCAGTCGAGGTAGTGGTGCTGAACGACTTTGCGGCGTCGGATGTCCCGCAAAGTCACCCTCTGGTCGGCGTCGAGCATATTCAAGAACGTGT